ATTCTTAAATTCCTCTTCAGAAAGAGTTAATGGTATCCCCACCAATAGTATATATGGGAGTACTGTGATTTTCTCTGACACTGGATACCATCAAGCTGTTAAATTTTTGCCAACTTGATAGGTGAGTAATGAAAGCTCCCTGCTTTAACTTAGTTTTATTATTAGTGAGGTAGAGCAGCATTTCACATTTTACGAGTCCTCATATTTCTTTCACTGTGGATTTTGTCTGCTATGTCCTTTGCCCATTTTTCTATGGAGAGGTTTTTGTTTTTAATGGGAGATTTTTGAGTACTATAGATAACAAATGTCTTAGTCTGTTTAGGTTGCTTTAACAAAATGTCATAGACTGGGTGACTTATCAACAACAGAAATGTATTTCTCACTGTTCTGGAGGTCAGAAGTCCAAGGTCAGAGTGCCAGCATGCTTGGGCTCTGGTGAAGGTCCTCTTCTGGGTTGCACACTGCAGACTTCTTGCTGTGTCCTCACAGGGTGGAAGGGGTTTGGGGTCTCTCTGGAACCTCTTTTATAAGGGCACTAGTCCCATTTATGAGGGCTCCATCCTCATGACGCAAGTATCTTCCCAAAACCCAAGTCCTAAAACTATCTTCTTTGGGGGTCAGGATTTCAATACATGAATTTTTGGTGACACATACACTCAGACCACTGCAGTAAACCTTTTATATATCACTTTGCAAGTATTAGTTACCTGTTTGTTGGTTGTGTTTATTTATGATAACTTTTGCATCTAGTTTAAAACGGTTTATGTAGTTAATCCTATTTGTTTTTTGCTAAAGCATTAGGCTATAGTATCTCCTATAAGAAAAGTTCTATAGTTCCAATATTATATAAATAAATGTTATTCCAAATGTTTTATAGAAAAAAAGCCAAACATTTTAAAAAAGGTAATAATTAAATATTTCAGATAACTTTTTCTTTGAGACATTCTTAGGCATTTACACATCTAAATTCTTAAGAGCTCATTGATAAAATTGTCATTGATTTATTCTTTGAAGAAATATGTGTGACACTTTCTTGGATATCAAGCTTATTTCTAGGCTTTTGGTACACAGTGGGACTTTTCTAGTGGAAGTAAAAATATAATGGTTAACAAACAAAAAATGTCATGTAGCTAGGATTTTTCATGAACAAACTGAATCAACCTCTGTGGACCCCCTTTGAGTTTATATATTATATGGACTCATTCCTTTCATTACATTTAAATTATACTCTAATTCATGGTTTAAATGTCTTTATACCTAGCATCTATTAATAGCTAAGTATCTGGCTCATTATAATGACTCAAGAACTATATTGTTAAACAAACAGATTTCCATACTTTATATATCGCCTCTTTCCTTCTCAAATGAATAGTCATAATCCTGCCTCCCTTCCCCCCTTTGCTCACCCACCACTCCAAAATAAAAACAACACTAGTTTTATGTTGGAAACAGCTCAAATCCCCAAAGACTGATGTTTGCATATGTGCTACTTAATCAAGCATGCTCAGTTCATAAGAAGGACGCAATTAAAAAAATTATTGAATAACAACAGATTAAAAATGTCATTCAGAAAAGTATAGGGAAATGCTAGCCCCTACTAAACACAAATTCACAGTACGCATTTTTAGAGAACTTGTAAGTTTTCTGATCTTGCAACAAAAATCCAAGTGTAATCATAAATAAAAGCCGGAGTTATTAATTAACATTGGAGAAACATCAACTTACAAGTGTGGACAGAAACAAAGTTGCAGAGCTAAGGACTGATGATTCTCACCAAGTCTCATTGGAAACAATGTTGTCTTATTCTGTTACATGCCTGAGTTCAGGAAAGCTCTTTTCAAGGATGTCTAACTTCCGGGTTTAACTGGGAGGCTGAGATACATTTCCATCTTCTGAAATAGAGAGCTGCTCTTGCCTCTCTGGAAATGAATGAACAGTTACAGCCCTTGGTTACAATTAGTTTTCGCTTTTGGAGCATTTCCCAGGGGTGATACGTGAACGCTTCCAGGAGGCAGTTGTGAGGCAGATCTGGAAGCTAGGGCTCTGCTGAGGCAAATGTGCTCTTGTGGGATGCGGCTGTGCACAGTATGTGCTAAAATGTAAATAACACAGCCAAGCACCAAATGCCTTTTTTTTTTTTAAATTAGAGGACTATTTTGAGCAGTGTGTATACACACACACACACACACACACGTATATATATGGATGCGTTTATATCTCTGTTACACAAAACCCTGAAATCATGTGAACAATGAGTCAGGCTTTATTACTACCGTCAGAAAGACCATTAGTGCAATGTTTTCCCTCGGTGAGTGACCAGCACCAAGCCCTCCATCTGAAGCTGGAAACCCTGGAATTCACATGGCCAATTATACAATACTAGACCACTGGGAAGCATTTCTGGCTGGCTCAGCTGGTGATCCGTTTTTACCCTGCAGCACCAAGATTGATAGACCTTATAATTTTATCCTGGTTAGGGCAGATGCTGTTCTTACATAAGTTTTTATTTAAAAACCCTCTTTTTCTAAAAACAAAAACAAAATCCTAAGCCCTTTCCGGTGGTTTGCCTTGATGACACCTCTTGGTGGTGAGATCAGTACCCTGATCACGGGCTAAGGAAAAAAAAATTCTCTTTCGAAATTTCTGAATTTGCAGTAGCTTAATTTCATTGAATGCTGTGTGTGCTTGTTTATGAGAAAGAATGAAAAGGAACAGTAATTTGGCCCCCTCTAAATCACTCCTTTTATGAGGCTTCTTTGGTGTGAGGGGGATGGGAAAGAGACTCCTTAGAAGGTACAGAATATAAATTCAGGAGCTGTTAGTTTCTCTCATGCTAATGACGAGGTATAATTTTAAAACATCACATTCATATGCATATGTGGTGCATACGTACATAATTAGTTTATTTACAAAGCACTTCGCTGCCGAACCTTAGAACTTGATAGTTCCATTAACCCTTAAAGGGAAAACTGGAGTTCAAATCAGTAAAGCACAAAGGAATGTGGCTCCCTTTCAATTATATTCACTCACCATCCAAGTCTTGGAAAGAGACCTCCAAAAAAGTGAAATGCATTTTTTTCTGAAGCACTGCCAGTCTGTTACAAACGAGTATTTATCTGCTTCTGCAGTTCTAATTATAAAATAAGCACTAGCTGCTCCATGGAATAACTACACTGGCCAAAAAGATTTTTATAATCTGAGAGAAATGCTCCTATATTGACTCTGCTAAGAGAAACAACTCCCCTTTCCTTGATTATAAAGAAGGAAGACAGATGGCTTCTTGTTTAAGACTGTAATTTTACTTTCAGCCTCCTCCCCTCAGTTAAAAACAAGATGTACTTTGAGGCTTTGAGGGAAAATCTCAAGGGAAGGTTTTTTTATTCCTGGTTGCATTGAATAATTCAACAAACACTTGAAATTGCTGAGGGAGGTACAAAGGAGAAAATGCTTTCCCTTGTTCTCAGGGAGTTTACAATCTAATTGTGGAGTTTACGACCAGAATTGGGACTACAGCCATTAAATTTTATTTTATTTTTCACTTCTATTTAATAACCTAATGTTATTGGTAACACACTTAGGATTCACCAGCCCAGAGGTATGGTGGACCTTCTGATCAAAACGAAGAACACTAGGAGGAGAATGCAGAGGAAGAATTAATGATCTCAAGCAGTACTTGTTGAGTGCTTACCGACCTACTAGCTGCTCTCATGTTATTTAATCTTGACAACAACCTTTTGTGGACATCCCAATTATTTCACAGAGGAGGAGAATGAGGTTTAGAGAAGGGATTCATCCAGTATCAGACCTAGGAAATGGTACTGGAACTCATCAACTAGGAATTCTTCTCTGGACTTTTCTTTTTTAGCTGTCCCCAGGTTACCATCTTGACTTTCCTTTCCAAAGCACGTTAACGTCAACTTACTTGTTAACGTCAACTTACTTTCGTGCTACTTTTTTACGCCTTAGACTTTGGGTCATTGTTAAAACTTGCTGCCTTTTATTCGGTCAGGCCTTCTTGAGTCTCATTCCTTTGCATCTTTGCAGAAACTTTTTTTTTTTTTAAACTGGTTCTGTCTTTGAGACATTCTTTGACAGAATGAAATGAAACGTAAAAAGGCTTATAACAGTGCCCGGTACCATGGTTCTCTTAATATTAACCACGATCTTTAGTTTTTATTCCTGCCACCTTGTAACTGTTCTCATCTCGCACTATTTCCCAACGACTCTTTTGGGGCTGCAAATTTCTTGAAGGTGGTGACAACGCCTACTTTAACTTGTTGCAACCCTACAGTAGCAACAGGGACTTGTAAGAAAACAGAAACTTGTATCTTTGTTCACCTCTTTATTCCCAGCGCCTATAAGTTACTGGTACTTAGTATGTCCTCAGTCTGTATAAGAAAGTTTAGTTCAGATCCAGTATGGCTCTGAGTTGGGAGACCCGGAGAACTTTTTTGCCTTTTCCCTGTTTTGGCTCTTTATAACAATTTTGACCTTGGGTGCATTTCGTTACGTTCTTACTCCCCTTTCAAGGCTGTTTCCACATCAGCAATACGGGGCCAGTAGCAACAGATGCTTGTTTCTCTTCGTCTTCTATCACTTACCCCTTCTCCAGGGAAGGTTTATCGTGTACGTTTTCCTCTGGATAAAAAGCTGCCGTCGGAGCAGTAAGGGGCCATGAGGGCCTTCGGGGCGCGCTCCCAGCGGGGACAGCGAGCGACTCCGCGTGCCTTGCCCGTGTCTCCCGGGTCCGGAAGCAACCCGGCCCAATATCGGCCGCGAGCCTGCCCAGCCCTCAGGCGCCTCAGCCCCGGGCGCCTTCTCGCCCCGAGGCAGCGCTGCCTCGGTGCCACCGCTAAATGGGCTCGGCACCGCGCAGGCTCCGACGCGCGCCAAAGGGCCCGGCCTCGTTTTGGCCGCCGCCGCCCCGCCGCCGCCCCGCCGCCCGCGCGGCGCTGCACTGGGGGCGGGGAGTCTGATGGGAGACGCGCGCGGCGCTGAGGAGGCGGCGGCCCGGGAGAGGGAGCGGGAGAGGGACTGGGCGCGGGAGGCGGGAGGCGGGGGACAGGGGGAGGCGCCGCCGCCGCCCGCCCCTTTCCGCTGGGGAGCAGCTGCAGCAGCAGGAGCCGAGCAGGAGCCGCGCAGCCGCCGCCGCCGCCGTGGGATGTGGCCG